CACATTGGCTGGCAAAACAAAAATGCATCCCTGGTAAACTGGTGTGTGCAGTTCGGGGACCCTCTGGCACAACCCTTAGATCCCCAGCCTGGGCCCGTTGTAGTATTTCGGGGAGGGGTGGGTTTTCTTGGCTTGATAACAGGGGCATGTAAAGTTGTTCTTGCTGAGCAGTCTGCCCTGGCATGTTCCCTGGGAGTATCATTTTAAAATTTCCTCTCCTGGAACCTTTCCCTTCTTGGAATATAGTTCAGGAAACTGCCTGCAGCTACTTCCCACTTGGTAAGAGGTCTCCATCCATTCATCCAGTCACTCGTTCATTCATGTATGAAGTGATGCATGTATTTAGTTTTTACATTAGTGCTTTTTAAATCGAGGTACAACAAAGTGCACACATCTTAGTGTACAGCGTGATGAATTTTGACATGTGCACACACTCATGTAACCACTGGCTAGATCCAGATACCAGTCTCACTGATTCTTTCCCTCTTCACCTATTTAAACCCATCCCCCAGTCCCCTCTCCTATGGTAACTACCAGTCTGTTCTGTGTGTTTTGAGTCTATATTCAACAGACGCATGAAAAGATGCTCAACATCACAGGTCATCAGGGAAATGCAAATCAAAACCACAATGAGCTATCACTTCACAGCAGTCAGAACAGTCAATACCAACAATACAAGAAATCGCCAGTGTCAGTGAGGACGCACAGGAAAGGGAGCCCTCGCATGCTGTTGGTGGGACTGCAAACCGGTGCAGGCCTGTGGAAAACAATACAAAGACCTAGAAACAGATACCATACAGCCCAGTAATTCCACTTCTATGAATCTACCCGCAGGGAACAGAATCAGTAACTTGAAAAGGTACCTGCACGCCTATGTTTATTGCAGCATCATTTGCAATAGCCAAGATACGGAAGCAGCCAAAGTGTCCATGAGTAGAAGACGGGTAAAGAAGATGTGCATAATGTTAAAAAGAAAGGCGAAGGCCCAACATCGTGTCCCTGCTGGGGGGCCATGTCGCCAAACCGGGGCTTAATACCTGACTTATCTGCAGTTTCAACCTCCCTGGAAATGTAGTCAGGGAGGGATTTTCCCGTCTGCATCAGTAAGATAATGTCACATGTGTCTCTCCATCGCCCAGAGGAATTCACCTATAAGACCCTTTTTTCCCAGATGAAGGAGAACTCACCCAAAGTAATCCTGTTTCTTTTTGACTCCCTTGTCCTGTCTTTAAAAAACGCTCACTTTTTATTGCCCTTCAGAGCATCTACCTAATTGTTAGAGAGGATCATGTCCAGTGCAAGAATCAATAAAGCCCATTAGATCTTCAAATTTACTTGAATTTTGTTTTTCAAGTATATATATATATATATACACATTACATATATATTACTCTCTATATATATTACTCAGCCACGAAAGAGAATGAAGTCCTGCCATTTGCAGTAACATGGATGGACTTAGAGGGTATTATGCTCAGTGAAATAAGTCAGATGCAGAAAAGCAAAGAGGCTTCCATTTAGGAAGAGTTCTCACCCAGGACATGGGTATCTGTCTCTTTAGGAAAGGCAGTCTCTGTGGCTCACTCACACTCGAGCCCAGTTCTCCAGGGGTGCACTTAAGCTTGGGGATTCTGTCGCAACTGCCTTCCCCTGTGCACTTCCAAGAGCTTGTCCACACTGCTGCAGACAAGGGGCCCAGCGTGCTCGGCTTCTTGAAAACATGCCCAGGTAACTGCAGTGAACTGAGAGCTTCTTTACACAGGTCTCTAGATGAACTCAACCAATTAAAAATTAAATGTGCTCACATATTCCAAAAAATTAGTCTTTTATTTTGGTTACAGGAGTCTAATGGGGCTCAAAGTGATAAAAATGAAGAGAAACATGCATAGAACAGTTCCATCAATTGCAAGGTACTAATTTTAGTCAAGAAAATAGCCAAGTATGTGGGTTTGGTTAATTAACAGGCAGTAAATTAAGTTCAACAGTTATTTTCTGTATATTTTGGTTTAATTAAATGCAAATCAAGATTAAACCATACCCTCAAAATACTCTTATAACCATAGCAAAGACAAATATTCCTTAAGAGAAACACTTAGCGTTGATGGATAGCATATAAATGTTTTCCTAAAATACCACATGCTAATGAACTTTTTTCTACTTCACTATTTTACATCAGTGATGTATTCAGACAGTACTGAAAAATCACATCCATAGCTGCTTAATTTACGGTAGCTCACTTGTTTTCCCCTAAGCTCAAGTTTACAGAAGACAGAGCGAGATTGGCTAAGCATATAAAGTAAAAGACATCTGGATGTATCTCCAAATTATTATATTGCCTCTGTTAATGCTACTGAATGAAGAGTTTTAAATTTGAGTATGAGCACCAAATCTATGTATATAGGGGCATTCAGTCAAAACCTAATATTCACACAAAGGAGAAACAAAAAATGTCTTAGCTGATTAACAGACGATTTATCAACAGAATCCCGAGCTACCAGGACTGTAAGTAAGGAAGTTAAGCAACAACTTTCTCCCAGCTTTACATCCTGCAGTTAGCACTGCAACACCACTGAGGAAACTAAAGAGAAAAGCCTGTTCAAGGATCAGAGGATTTAAAATGCAGTGTATTTAGAAGAAATGGAAAACCACAGCTTTCTAGATTTTGCCTTTCAACTCAACATGAACTACCAAGAAAGATTTTAATTGCATTGTTTTCTTCCCAGAACAATCAAAACCCACCTGTACATTTCTACCATATATCTAGCATCCTTGCTTCACTGCCTTTCCAAGAATGAGGTTCATGCTAGTGAAATGATACCCCATGGTTATAATATATATATGCTTATTCCCTCATTGTTATCTAATTGGCAGAAATCCTGTCCATGAGAATTTGACAGTGACAGGATGTATCACCACTAGAGAATCCAATAATAGTCCAGTAGACTTCGAGAAAGATGGTAAGAGAGTGTTAATTAAAGAAAAATTGAAAGATAAATTGCTGGGACAACTGGGAATTACTCTCAAGGAAAGGAACAAAACTAAATATTAATGAAAGACGCTATAAGAGAAATGTATTATAAGAGAATTTAATACATTTTTTTTTCATTTTTAGAAAATCATGTGGTCAAAGCTTATAGGTATTATACTCTGGAAAAATGACTCAATAGTTAAATTCTGGACACTAACATAATCTATGCAAGAGCAACTGGGTTCAAAAGTAAGTGAGGTGAGGGATCAGAATTTCACTTGGAGATACAGAAGCAGTTGCACCAGGCAGCCCCCAGAAAAAGCAGTCATATTTGTCTGCGTGAGTGGCACGCCTGGTTAGTGGGCCGTGAGCACCTGGTGTGCTTGTGCTCGGTGGCCCTGGGGTACGTATCACAAGATCAGTAGGAAAACTGAGAATAAAGGTGATAAAGATAACGTCCACCTGAGGAAGGAGCATAGGCTTTGGAACTCGACATGCCTTGAATCTTGGCTACATTACTTAAGGACGACATGAAACTGAATAAATTTATTAACAGTCCAGGAATTTTTACCTTTCCAGTAGGTATACAATAAAACCTCCCAGAAAGTATGGGTCAGACTAATCATCTACATGGCCCTCATCCTCATCCAATGACTTGGGGGAGTGGGGGTGTTGGAGGAGGTTTTGGAGAGGGTATGACCTCTGGCTGACTCACAGGCTAGACCCAGGCGACAGGAGGCTCCTTCCCCTACCCTGTCCCTGGTGTGTACATCCTGCCCAGCATTCCTGTCGTGAGAGCCATTTTCAAAGATGCAGCCTTGAGGGAGCATGGTGTTGCTGGTATGTCTGGACAGTATACAGCAGCTGAAGACAGTTAAGGGCTCTGCATAAGCTTTTCATATGCTGGTGTGGGGGGTGCGGGGAGGGTGCTGCAGACAGCACTTGTCTTGGAGCCGCTCATAGGTGAGCTCCCTTGCTTACTAAACCTACCACCTGCCCGTCAGGAGGGGTCTGCCTGTCTCTTCAGTCTTTGTCCTTTGTGTATGGGAGCCAATTGGCCAATCAATGATGAGGAAGGTACGTGTCTACTCTAAGCAGCAGAAACTAGACATGCACAGGCACAGCAGAGGGTGGACGGCTGACCGTGCTGGCCAAGCGCAGACTGCGCTGCCCCCTCGCTGATGCCCGAGGTAGTGCTGGGAAATCCTACTGCAGGGCTCGGGCGTGACTGGCATGCGGTTCTATAGCACATGTCTTTTTTGTATCATTTATATGTAGGAGATAAAGGTATTATTATAATTTAAATAAGTAAATGCCTTTAGCTTACAAATTTGATTTCTCATCTTTGTATATTAAAACACAAAAACTGATTTCAAAGGAAAATGAGGCTGTGTATTTGGGGATGGTATAAAATTAGCTGTGCACATCAAAGCAGAGGTCCTTAAGTCAGCCTATAAGAGCTCAGGGCAGTATTCACTTTGACATTGTAGTGTTTCAAGAAAGGAATCCTTGGGTTATAGAATTTTAGGTATTTCAGTTTAATTTACATTCACTATCAGTGACTCCTAACATTTTAGCTACCTTTTTGTCTGCTCTCTAAATCTTCCCATCAGTTAAGAAAGAGTTTCCAAATCAGTTAAGTGTATTAATGCAATTCTTTGTTAATGCTCAAGTTTTTTTTAAGTGTCTTTTAATTCAGATGAATGCATCTGAACTTAACCTTCTAGTAAATTTGGATTTTTTACTGGATTACTTTTGATGAAGGGTACACTTGTAATTAGTAACAGCTGTGAATCTCTATTTTGTAAAACTATGGAGAATAAGTTATCAAATTAATCACATTTTTTGGACAAATCTCAAGTTTTCAAAAGAGGAGAGATTTGGGTAGAATTTTGGCAATGTTGGAAAATATTAAGAAAAAACAGGTACAAATACTTTAGCTAGCCTTTTTCAAAATGCAAAATATGAATTGTCTTTCCTCCCAACCCCAAGTTAATTATACCGTTCACCTCTTTACCTCCTACAGAGAATCTTCATTTTCTGGAACTACTCAAAACATTTATTTTATCACCTCTGTGTGTGTTCAGCTGAATACTCACTGTTGCAAGGGAAACTCTAACTAGATCATCCATTGTCTGCAGAGAGATGGGATTTCAGATGAGCCCTGGAAAATCATCTTACCATGAGGCTATAAGCAATTTTGAAAATGGAAAGTAGAGCATATTTACTACACCTGGTGAGTCTCTAATTACAATGGTCTATATTCATCATTTACACCCATTTGTCATTCTAATTAATTACTCCAGGCTCAGTTCAATCCCATTGCTGCATTCTGAAATTCCTATTGACTTAAAAAAATATAATAGTTTCTATCGAGTAACAGACATTTTGGAATCAGTGGTTTTTAAACAATCAAGAACTATTATATATAGTTCATCTCCAGTGTGGAGCTCAGATTCCTGCCACTTACAACCATTTTACCTTTCTTTTTTCTCCATGAATACAAAGAAGCTATTTTGAGCATTTTAGAAAGCCATTTAAAAAGTATGCCTTCAGTCTTATAAGTCTCTTGCTTAACATCATTATAAGTATGCATAGAGGTTATTTTTATATATATACTTTGTTAATTGCTTTAGAATATTAAAGGATTATTTGGTAGGTAAAATGTTTGCTACTGGACAAATTCATTCACAGGAATATCTCTCATTCTTGAACCTCATTTTTTTCCAATTCTGTCATAGCACATTCTTGTTCATTAATGTGTTCAGCTAATTTTAAATGGAGATTTAACCAATGTCATGAAAAAAGTCATTCACAATCAGATGATGGAATTCCTTAGGTTTTGAGTAATATGAAGTTCTGGAGAAAAAAACTAAATTTTTGGCTTGAGTTAACTAAATCAACATGTACACTAAAATCAAGTTGATTTAAACTGGTCACATATATATATATGTGTGCCTCCTTCATGCATGACATACTGATATTAGCCAAGTAGATAAAGCATGTATATTGTCACAAATGAGATTTCTAACAGCAACTTCATTGTTTAGTTAGACTAAGGCAGGGGCTGTTTTAAGTGCTTTCTATGGAGAAACTGATTAATCATTATAACATCCTTGTCAGTAAACCCCATTTTTACCTCTATTTTATAGAAAACTGAAGCACAGAGAGGTTATGTGATTTCTGAAGATCACACAGTAACTGTCACAGATTAGATTTGACCTCAGGCTATACATCCAGAGCCTGCACTCCTAGCCTTCGTTCCCCACTGCAACCAGGTTTTAACTTTTTATATTATATTATGAAATATGTAATGATTGGTCCTACTTGTAGCCATCTCCTACCTCTCCCACAGATCATTAAAAAACACCTCAATACCCAAAGTTGAAAGTAAACCTCAACACCCAAAAAATAAATAACCTGATTAAAAAATGGGTGGAGGACCTGAACGGACACTTCTCCAAAGCTGAAATACAAATGGCCAATAGGCACATGAAAAGATTCTCCACATCACTAAATATCAGGGAAATGCAAATTAAAACCGCACTGAGATATTGCCTCACACAAGTTAGGATGGCCAACATCCAAAGGACAAGGAACAAATGCTGGTGAGGATGTGGAGCAAGGGGAACCCTCCCACACTGCTGGTGGGAATGTAAACTGGTGCAATCGCTGTGGAAAGCAGTATGGTGGTTCCTCAAAAAACTAAAAATAGAAATACCATGTGACCCAGTGATTTCACTCCAAGGAATTTACCTAAAGAAAACAATATCACTGATTTGAAAAATAGATGTACCCTTGTGTTTATCACCACACAATTTGCAATAGCCAAGATATGGAAGCAACCTAAGTGTCCATCAGTAGATGAATGGATAAAGAAGGTGTGGTACATATACACAATGGAATATTATTCAGCCACAAAAGGGAAAGAAATCCTGCCATTTGCAACAACATGGATGAATCTAGAGGGTATTATTTTCAGTGAAATAAGCCAGGTGGAGAAAGACAAATACCATATGATTTCACTTATTTGTGGAATATAAAAGCAAAGCAACACAGAAGGAACAGAACAGCAGTAGATTCACTGACACTGAAGTGAGTGGTGGTCACCATGGGAGAGGGTGTGGGGCAGGTGCAGGGGGAGGGGATAAAGTGGCACAATAATTCACAATCACAAAAGTTGATTACCGAGACTATTGAACTGCTGTGATGTACATTTGAAACCAACATAAGATTGTATATTAATGATACTTTAATAAAAAAAAAGTACTGAGTATGTTTATTTCCCACTGACACTTCTTATTAAAACCCAGCACAATCAAACTCAGCACAAAAACTGACTCAATATATGAACCGAGTCTCTAATTTAAGTCCATGGCTGGGTTTGTTTCTAATGTTTTGTTTTTAACAGCTTTATTGGGTATAAGTTATATCCAATAATTGTCATTTATTTTAGATGAAGAGTTTGATGAATTTTAGTATATACTCCACGGCACAGATATACCAGAATTCGGTGAGCCTCAGTTGATGGACAACTGCACTATTTGGATTTCTGAATTTTGGCTATTATTAGCAATGCTCCTTCCAACAGTCTTGTACAGCTTGCTGTGTGTCTGTGTATATGCTTTGCTCTTGGGTGAATCTCCACAGCTAGGATTTTGGAGTCACAGCTAATTTAGATTTACTATCTCTGATGCTACCCTCTTTTCTAAACCAACTGCACAGTTCTGCACCCCCTCAACCCCCCACCAGTGCATCACAACTCCATTCGCTCCACACTTTCACCAACACATCTTTTCAGTTTTAGCCAAAGTGGGTGTTTATAGCTAGGTCATTGGGTGTTAATTTCAATTACTCTGATGACTAGTGGTTTTGAGTATCTTTTTACATGCATTGTGGCCATTTATAGAACTTTTTATTTGAAAAGTAATTGTTAAAAACGTTTACCCATTTTTTGGGTTGTTTGTCTTATTACTGTATTGAAAAAGTCTTCATATATTTCAAATGGAAATCCTTTAAAGGTTTTTGGAATTCATCAGAGTAGTCATTTCTTTCCTAAGTTATTTTTTGTGGGAAGTATTTTGTGAATTTGATTCCTTTCATTGATGTAGGGTTTTTAAAAATATCTATATTATTTACTTCTTCTTGGGTAGGGTAATAGAAACATGACTGCCTGATGCCTGAGCATCTCATGAGATCCAGAGACCCTTCTTTCCATTTGATCCAATGAGGCTTTGCCACCACGTCACAGCGAGAGCAGAGGTGGCCTGAGAAAGAAGACAGTAAAGAGACTCCCCGGGGACCATCAGTCTGAGTCTTCCCAGCCAGTGCACAACTCCCCAACATGGCCAGTCACCAAGGACAATGCTCCCATGCGGCAGCAACTCTGATGTAAAGTATCTAAACCATTGAATATTCAACCGATCTTTATTATATTTCCCAATATGAAGAACCATTTATTTCTAACAGTTTTGCAGGTTAAGATGTCACATTTGAACTAAATTATGTCCCTTTAATCTTACTCTTACTATTTTAACTTTGTATTAATATTGTACTGGCCCTGGTGATTTTAAAGTATAATTCACACAAAGCATAATTAACTGTTACAATACAGGACAGGTCTGGCCACTGGAGGAGGAGTGGGTTTTTCTATTTTCATGCCCTTTGTATTAAAGAATCAAATATTGCTTCATTCTGTGCAGAGACAACACTTGTTCTTTTAAGGCACCATGTTTTAAATTTATTTTTTGTTTATTTAATGTTTATTCCATATTATACTCATGAAATTTCATTCAGATGAATATCAATATTATTTTAGAAAAAAAGAACAGAGAGGTAGGTTGCTTAGCATTCTGGGCCAGAGAAAGTCAGCGATAGCTTCCTAAAGCCCAAGTTAGATCAAAACATTTTTAATGGATCCGCTTTGCATTTGGAACTAGTTCCAGTAGATTCACTGCAAATTCAGCACCAGAGACAGTTTGGCTCAGTTCTAACTTTATTTCTCACCGGATCCCTTCCTAGTCTCTGCTCTCCCATGTCAGACCCACCCAGCCTTGCCCGGGCCAAGCAGCCCCTTCCCGGCCCTGGCATTTCACTCCTGCTGTGGCTTCCACTTAAAATGCCGTGTCTTCTCTGCCCTCACAAGCCTGACTCACCCCTCGTGCCTCGGTGTAGACTACCGTCTTCCCACCAACCCTGCCCTCTCCCCGAGGTGCATTTAGATGTTTTTCTGTCATGCCTGCCTTGCTGGTATAGCCACCACAGCACAGTGTTTACTTCATTCTCCGTTACTGCCGAGCAAGTGAAACCCACTACTATGGTACAACTCTTACTAAGTGGGAGACATGTCTTCACTGGATTTAGCAAAAATGCTTATGCAGATCAAACCCTTGTATTTGTTGTATTTGTAACCATCACGCCAAAGCCGGTGCCCTACCCAGCAGACAGTAACCTCTCTTTGAAGGACTCCTGAGCGACAAGCGGTGCTCCGAGTAAACGGCAGGCTCTCTCACCATTCCTTGTGATTCCCACACAGCGCTGCCCACAGCGATCCCCACAGGCCCTGGTGCTGCGCTGGCAGTGACTCAAGTCCCTTGTGCTTTGCCCCATCTTCTCTCAGAACAGAACTAGGCTCAGCGGGGGAAACCTAGAAGGAATCAGGTCCTGTCGGTTTGCACCAGGAACGACTGGGCTCCCAGTCGACTCAAATACAACCACGGATCTCACAGGAGAAATAACTATGCATCATAACTTTTTAAGTTTTTATGTTACTTGGTGATTTAGAAAACAACTGATTCAGGTTCAAAAATAGTATCCTAGTGGCCTCATAATGACCTTTATGTTTACTGGCTTTTATAAATAAACTTTATTTTGGAACAGTTTTGTGTTTATAGAAAAATTGAGAAGGTAGTGCACAGAGTTCTCATATGCCCTGTACCTAGTTTCTCCTAACCATAATGTCTTACATTAGTGGGCATATTTGTTAACAATTAGTGAGAGAGTAATGATGCATATTTATTAACTAAAGTGCAGATTTTACTCAAGTTTCCTGTGTTTTTTGACTTAATGTCCTTTTTCTGTAAGAGACCCCCGTCCAGGATAACACATTAAAGTTAAGGGCTGTCGTCTCTCCTGACGTCTTCTCTGTGCTGTGGCAGTTTTTCAGAGCTTTCCTCATTCTGGATGACCTTGACAGCTTTGGGGACTAATGGTCATGTATTTTGTAGGATGACCCTTTATTGGAACTTGATTTTGTCTTGATTGGATGGGGTTGTGGGCTTTGGGGAGGAAGATCGCACAAATAAAATGTCACATTCATCACATTATACCGAGTGTACAAACTAACAACATGATTTATGACCATTAACGTTGACCTTCATCATCCAGCTGAGGAAGTATCTGTCATATTTTTTCACTGAAAAAAAAGGTGCTCTTTGTAAAACAATCTGGTGTGTGTAAGTCCTCTCTGGAAGGCAGCTAGTGTGCGCAGTGCACGCGTCAGGCAGGCAGAGCTGTGCGGCTCCTTGATGGTGGGCAGCTTTGCACCAGTGCCTCTGCTCCTGGGTCATTCATTTCGTCCTTTACTTATAACCCGATGGACTCATTTGTGTTTGTTTTATATTTTGGGTTATAATCCGATATTACTTTATTTTGTTTCGCAGACTGTTCTGTGCATCAGCCATCGGTCATTGTGAGCCAACCGGCCCCTGCGTCTCTGAGACAAGCCTCACCAGTGCGTGCATGAGTGTGTGCACGTGCATTAGCACCTCCTTATCTTCTGGAACTACGAGATGCTCCAGACACATCTTACAGAGTCACTACCTGTGCTGTAGGTGCCAAAGCTCCTTTTACTGGGAACTGGGGACTCAGACCTGGGTGCCGGCTGTGCTCATTGCTTCTGGTGTGACATTTCTTTCAAGCTTTCTCAAGTCGCAGAGCAAAGAAATCGGTATGTGTAACTAACCTGTACATATACACATATCTACAAATATTTCCACACACAGCCGTCTGTATCAGGCTAACCACGAGTCCTTACTCACCAACCTCACCATCACGTGGCTTATTCTGCCCGCCCCTCCTTGCCTACCTGCAAATTCACACTCCACAGGACAGCGAGGAACTGGCACCCACCATCTGCTCTTCACATCTTTTGACCATTTGCAATTGGTTTGCTTGTTTTCTTATTGTTGAACTTTAAGAGTTCTTTGTATATTTTTGATGTATAAAATCTGTGCTTTTAAATTATAGGAATAAAGCCAGTATGCCCTTAAAACTATAGTCCAGGGAGATGGCACTATTTGTGGAGTCTTGTAATAAACTAATCATTCACCCTGTTCAATATTTATATTAATACCTTTTCAATCATTTTTTTTGCGTGTAAAATGTATGTCCTTATTTGAACACATTATCTTTTATTCTTCTTCCCAAGAGATTTAAAGGGGAAAAACAATCAACTAACTGACTAGGTAATATTTCGTCTGTATCTCTTTCTCAGGAAAGAATATGTTGCATGCTTTGTTGAATTTCCTTTACTATTTGTATTGCTCATGTCAGCTCCTGTTTTTATCTCTTCAGTGAATAGAAGGTATTATCTATCTACCTAAGGCCTCTTAAAAGTCTATACCATTTCTTCAAAATGTGAGAAGACGGAATATAGTATACTTCATGGTTATGTACAAATGCACATACACATAAATATTAAATTTTAAAATAACAAATAGCATGTGAGATAGATGTTTTATTAAAGCCTCAAAAAGAAAAAGGAAAAAAAAAGTAATATACAGTTTTGGAAAATTCCAGAAACAGAATTTTTGGAATGCATCCTATTTTTTTTCACAATTTGATATTTGGTCCTATATGCCAGATAGTCCTTCTGAACATTACAGATAGAGCATGAGACAGGACAGAACAAGTCAAAATGCTCATGGCACTGTTTGTAAACAATGAGAAAATTAATGAATAAAAAAAATCAAGTACTGACAGTAGTATGATAAAAAATAAAAAAAGGCACAAGAGAATGGTAGCTACTAGTCTGTATTTCCAAAAAATAGTAATATGTAATTAATGACTAAGATTATTTATAGACTAAAAATAGCTCTTTAATATTACTGACTTATCTTCTTTTAAGCTATATTTGTTTATTCTTCAACCTTACTGTGCAAGGTATACCCACTAGAAATTGGGACCTATTTTTTCTGTACAAAGACATGGAATTCTCACACAATGCTATGTATGAAAATAAGTGTTCTTGTTATCACAGTTACAGTTTACATAGCTTTCAATTAGGGTCAGAATATTAGAAAGTATTCTTAATATGTAAATGTGCAGTGCCACGTTTTATGATTTTGGAGTCAAAAGACACAGAAAATAAATATTTCTTGTTGCCTGTGGGATTTGAAAGCACATTTTCTAATCTGAAGGCTCTACTTTTTATAGCCTTTGAAATAGGATGTAGCACTGCACAATAATTATATGTATTTAAACCTCTAAAAAACTACAACTATGAGTGTCATCTATGGAGCTGGGCAGCACGGCCCTGTGGCTTCCATCAAGAACACTCTTAAGGATTTAGAGTCGAGTGTGTGCTTGAATGTGCTTATAACTGAATCATGTCCCTTGACAATGCTAAATACATGTGTGCAGCCTGCCCAAGTGATTTATCACCAGTTACATGAATCAAAGGAGTGCCTGCACATTTTTAAAAATTAGATGGTGAAAATACTTATAAGGAAAGAGTAGCTACAACTGGGTATTTCTAAAGATTAAATAAATATAAAAACTGAGTGTGTATGTGTATGAATACCAAATTAATATGTAAGAAAACTACAACCTGAAGAAATACCAATCAACCACAAAACAAGTGTCGTCATCATCATGACATGACACAAGAATGTGCTACATAAATTTGAAGGAAAGACACTGTAATTCCACTAGGGGCCTGGAAATGGGGGGTGGGGAAATATTCCTTCCCATGCATGTTTCTTCGTAGACCTGATGATGAAGGCTCAATATTTTCAGTAGATGCATTAAAATGTATGAAAGTTTTATCAGTTCTAAGGAGATGCTCCTTGTACTGAAATCAGTAAATGACAGAAATCATGCCAGAGGCCCTGAGTCAGGTTTAAACAACGTACCTTGAAGATGTGGTAAGTTAGAACTTAAACTATTTTGGTAGAAGCTTAAGTTACAAGGGTTATCTGTCGTCATAATATGGAAAGTTGATTGTAAAGCAGTGACAAATTTGTGTTTTGGGAATCTCAGTGGTTTGGGTAGTTGACACTCTGGCTCTAAAATGCTTGAACAGTGCTGTATCACTTGCCTCAAAAAGTGAATATTGAGAAAAAATACTCACCTAAGGATTATATATCTAATTGCTTTAGCTATTTTTATAAAGGGGCAAGAATTTAAAGCCTTTATATAGTGGAAGGTAGGGTAACATTCAAGTGCCATTTTCCTGTGAAGGTAATCATGCTGATGATTCATTTAATAGATAGGTTAATGTTCTGATTCTCCCTTTCAAAACTATATATTTTACACTATTTTATAAATACTATTTAACTAGTTATAGTTAAATAACTTAGTGCCTCTAGAGGCAGTAAGGAAGTAATATTGCCTTTAGTTTGTGTATGTAAGTGGTTGCAAAGAGGTTAAATGCTGGACTCAGATAAAAAATCCAGTAAGAGACTACCAGATGCACAGCTAGGTTGTCTGCTCCCATCCCTGTCTACCTCTGGGTGCAAAAATGCCACGTTATGAGAGGGAGGGCGGGGGCCCAGGCATTCCCCACCCCAGATATACATTAACCAGACATGAGTGATTTTATATGAGCTATACATGAACTAAGAGAGTGGGAACTAAGTGATTTTTCCTTGATTATAGACATTTTAAGGATTTTCCTAAATATAATCCCCATCTTATACTCAGTTTTACCTTTTTAAAAGATACAACCTAGTACAGCAGAAAGAATATTAGATGACTCTGAAGACAATTCAGCTGGGTCAATAACATGCTAAATATTCTTGAAACATTTCTCAATTGATTTAGTTTCAACTAAATAAATTTAGAAAAAGATGTTCTCCAAGATGCTCTTTAGCTATAAAGAGTATGACTCAAAGTTAGGAACTACTTCCTTGTACAAATCTCCTAAAACTACAAACCCAAAACATTAAGGTAAATGCTGTAATTCATTGTTATTTTTTTAAATTTGTTAGATTTCATTATCCCAGGCTACAGTATTCTTGAGGACGCTGCAAAGCTTGAACATCGTGCTTTGCAGATACACCCATGACACAAGTGTGTGTGATACAAATGCTCTTGAGCCGTGACGAGCACCATGAGCAGAGGGCTTCGCCTGGCTGTCCTTCCCCAGGCACACATCCGTGCACACCTGTGCTCACTCCTTCCACGGCAGGCTCATTTGATTGAGAAGGGAGTGTTAAAACTGCCATGGCTTAACGTCACAATGCCAAATAACAGCTACTTCTGCAGGAGAGGTGGCAGAAAGAGGGAAAATCACTAATTCTTTGCTCTTAGAACTCTGGTTTAAAAGTAGCTGGAGAACAGCAGCATTACCTACCTAAGAAACTGTTCATGAGAAATGAAGTGCTTTTTGTGGGGAGGGGCTGGCAGTGGAGGGAAAGGAGACACTGGAAGCAGGGGCGTCATGGGCCGTTGCTGGGGGCTTGACCTCCAGACCTCGACAAATCTGCAGGTATCTGTGCAATTCAAGGAATAGCAACCCACCTACCTTCATGTCGGGTAAGTGCCACCTGATGCTGAATAAGGTGAATTTAGAATTACAAACTCCTACATGGCCACACATTTTTATAAGGAAAAACAAGACCTGAAGACCCGAAACTAATGAAAAGAATGTCGGTCAAAGACTGAATGTGCAGATGTATAAAGAATGTCACTTTTCCTTATAAAGAATATCAATATCCCGTCTACATGATAGACCTCTTTCAATGGTGCTTTCCGTGACAACTATCCTTTGAAAAACGCTTTAGGAAATCGGGTCATTTTTTTTCTTCCACACCCTCATGCTGGATCCCATAGACATGTTTTGTAGATAATAAGGAGAGTTCCAAACTCACACTGACTTTTTTTTTTCACTGACTTTTTATTTAATGAGAGAGACATTTTATTTTTCTCCTGGCACTTAGGAGATTTATTCCAACACTCTTTGATTCTGAGCAAAAGTCAACTCAGGCTCATTTTTAGGGATAAAAAAAATCACTTATAAAGGGACAAACCATCAAATCAGCGAACTGCTCTAACCCACAGGAGCCTGGTCAGGGTCCCTGGGTGACTTGGGAAGTGTGAAGAGATATATTGTGCCCAGACATTCTGGAAGAAGAGAAAAAGAAGGAAATTCCAGCAAACAGAAACCAAGGGAACTGTATCTCCCAAATGACACTGATTTTACCAAACATACACATTTCAGAAATTTCATGTTCTTTATCTACATGAGACCTAAACTGACTTGAGGGCTGAGGACAAAAACAACCGTTTTAAATATCCCTGGTTCCCTAAGAAAGGAGGACACGTTCTATTATCGGGGCTTATTTTTGGCTTAAGAGACGGTGGCCTTAATGATTCCTCAAGGTCCCTATTTTAGTGATGTTCCTATAGTGCTGTGTCTGTTACTGTCATATTTAAAAGGCAACTCATGTACCTTTATATAAGCTAATGACAAATTTTATTTACAATCAAAGCATCTTGTGGCAAATAGGATACATGATGAGAAAGTTGGCAATATCCATATTATATATGTATATAAACATAGTGTATTAATTTTTATCTTGCAGACTTTATTATTGGGAAAGACAAACAAGTATCACCTATTTGTGAAAGATAGGTCCAAAATTTACTTGGAAAACATCATGGTGTAACTCTTGGCGTATTGTACAAGGTAAAACCAAACATACTGAATCACACTTGCTTTAATGACATGGGAATGACGGGGGAAAGTCCTACTCAAAGACTTACCCTTTCCCAAGCAATCAATGTCAGCAAATAATCAAATTTCATAGGAAGCCGTATTTTTACTTCGCTTTTATAACTCTCTGGTGTTGCTCTGCCTTTCCATAACAGGTGATTGGAAAAGGCGCTGTGCATTTTACAAAGGTTTTTTCTCTTGGATTTCTGAAAAGGTAACTTTTTCAAAAAGTAAAAGCCAAAGCGTTTCCAAGTTAGAGAAATCTCATAATTAAAGCCTCCAGCTGCACGCATTTTTATTACCACAGACAACATAGCAAATTGACATATGTGATTCTGCGTCACACTTCAGATTTTAAATTATTTTAGTCTTCTGAAATGTGTTTAAGTGCACTAACCAGATACACTTTCAGTAATTCGGCTTTTAATGACTATCCTTCACTTCAGAACTACCTTTGATGTTAAAATAGTCTAAGAAATAATGTAATTTCCCCACATGCTGGTTGGGTTATACTCAGATGTTTCTAAAATATTTCATGTGAGAACTCTCCCTGACCCCTACCCACTGTGAAAATGTGAGGAGATTTTACTTACAATAATTTTGTATCTTGTAGTTCACTAAATTACCTGGAATGATCAGGACCTCAACTGAAATTGATTGCTGAACCAAAAATAACATCAAAGTAATATATCAAAAGGATATAACAGATGTAAAAATACAAATTACAAGAATAAGTTCAGGATAATTAATATTTGCAAATGTTCACTGCAAAACACCTTAGAAAGTATAAAGCTTATAGCACATTAAAATCTAAAATTTTAAATAGGCCTCTGAAACTGG